CCTTTGGTCGGATTGGACTCCTACCTGGCCCAACACACACATGTCCATGCGATTTTCTGCCATTTAGAGAGTTCAATATTATTTACTAAATGCCCCGTTTTCGACAGCCCTCCCTCGTGTTCCATAACTCTTCATCAGCGAGTCCTCAGGACGCCTTTAGGGATGTAACAACCTAGGAGACTGGATGGTTGTTCAAGTACACCGAGGTCGACACTTTTTAAGTGAACCCAGGAGGGAGGTGGTGTGATCAAGTGTCGGTGAAAAAATCGTTTCCAGTCTCCCTCGCAGTCGCTGAACCCTGTTCCGCCGCCAGCGTCGTTCGTATCTTTCTCCCGCACTCTGTGTCAGCACTCCCCCGTCCCGAACTCGCAGCCGTGTCGCACGCACTATTCACCACTGGTAACTGACCAGACATAAGAGAGCCTCGCCCACTTCAGATGAGACTTTACCAGTGTAACCCCTTTCCTAACTGTCTTCTATTTACTTTCTGTCTACGCATACATTTATATTCAGTAGAAGAACACCTGCCCATTCAATAAAACCGGAACACTCCTGGAACACTGCATGCGATCGTTTGAGTGAAGTGCAAGCTTTTTTATGCGCAGATCTGCGATGGAGATGGTTTGACCCGCGTGTCAGTGAAAATGGCCGGTGCCCCTTCCGATTAACTGCCGACCCCTTCTCCGCAACGAAGCAAGAGGCAACGCGTCTCCTCCAATGACGTCCGGCACCTCCAATCCCTTACCTGCAGTTGCAACGTGCACTATATTCCCAACCGTTTATTTAGCAGATAAATCAGCTTCACCCTTCATTGAGATGGGTTATCACACACGGTACACTTTTAATTGTACACTCTACCCATATTCGTGACTATTATATAGTTATGTCTCTCATTTTTACTATCCCCCTTTATCGCCCGGATGATTGTTGATGAGTTTGCCAGGTCCGTTCGGTTCTGCCTCGACCTTACTCGATGTATGCCAGCCTCTACATCCTCGACCCCTGTCGGAAGATTACAGGGTGGAGCAAGAGCAAATAGCCTCTAGGCATTTTAAGCAATTTTATTATTGGCTAGTCAATGCGCCAATACGCGTCACCAGGGAAAACTTTCGCGTTGACGCAAACCGATTTCGCTGGATGGGACGTCAAAGGTGCGTGTGTCTTACTAGGTATAGACTCTCGTTAACCAGGTGTGGAGCTGTACTGCAACCACCTAAAAAACCAGGATGTCCGGCACTGCTACCGTGTGGTGAGCAATCCTGTGTAGCATCACCGCGCATATTTACAAGTCGACAGGGAGCACCACGGTCAGCGATACGCACGAAAAACCTTCTAATGTCAGGGCGTATCATGCGAGTTTCAGTTCAGTTGGCAACAAAATGAGAGGTGAACGTAAACAGCGTCTAAGAGACTTTAAAGTGCCAAGTCCTCGCATGACGGCTGTTTGTCGCCGCGACTGCTGAGAGGACGCATGTACTGAAGTATCGGCATAAATTCGGGTCTGCACAGTAGTTGGACAGCCTTCTTCTCTATCGTTGCAAACTTTATGACTAGCAAAGGTGAGCGTGCCTGAAAGAATTCTCTTTTTATTCTGCCATACTGATTTAGTCCACAGCAAATTACCTCTGCGTCAGTTTGTTCCGTAACTAATAGGTGTGCACCTACCTACTATTATATATATATATATATAGTCTGTTAAAAACTTAGCAACAGAAATGTTGACATGATGTTCCGGATTCATATTTGAATCCATCGCGAGAAAGCAGCATAACTTTTATATGTGGCTGTTTCTGATGATGGCTTCGATTGATGATTCTAAACATCAGGTCCACATATATTTTTCTTCTTAGTTTGTCGCTGAGATCCGCACATTCATTTCCTTCGGGAAGCCACATCAAAATTCGACTTTGATGTCAGTCTGGGTCAATAAATAAGTTTAAGTAAATGCGGGTAGGACAGCCTTTAGAGGTCCTACTTGCCTCCGACTTATAATAATAACCTACTTTTACATTTTACAGTAGCCCGTCTTTCACTTTTTTTAAGGTTGAATTTTCCTTTTTTGTTTACTTCCGCCAATACAAAGTTGAGTTTCTATTAATAGAAATTAGTTGCCTGAGCAGCAGGAGTTTATGTTGATGGAGTTGATGCTATTTACATCATTAAAACAACTATATATGGCTTTAATTTAATATTCTTTGGTCACTCTCGGCACAATTACATATTTATTTACACTTGTTAGCCAAGATTTGAATGTTTAACCACCGATTGCGTAAAACAGTTGGGCGGGGGAGTTCATTTTTAGACGGCCCTACAATAATGTCCTGCCTAAACATCTAACTCCTCGATAATCCTACTAAATGGCATTTTTAAGGTGAGAAATCCATGTTAGCACGCTTTTTTGATCAAAGAACCGAAAAAATGTTTAGAATTGATTTTTCAAACGGTAGATCTAAAAGCTATCCTGACGATTACCTAAATCAGATTTCGCACTTTGATAGCTAGGCGCCCTACGTAATTTCAATGTCGTCTGAATGAACGCCTCGCATGTTCAGTAATTCCCAGTCCCGACCTAGGACGGAACTCTTGCGCCATAGTTCAAAGAGGGTTTGCATAAACAATTCCGTGCCGCCAATCAATGCAACCAATAATATTAACCACTTCCATCGTTTGCTATACTACCATTTCAAGTGGTGACTTAAGAACATAGTGACTCAGGTTATCTGCTGTACTTAGTCCCGTGTATTACTGTCCAATCAGAACCGCATACAAGTCCATTTTATTCCCCAGTATCTCAGTGAGTTATGAATGTGTATTTGTAGATGCAAATACTGTTTTGCAAAATGATGTTGTTAGTGTTTTAAAGGCTGCCTCCGTTTAAAAAGACTATCTTTCCCCTTTTTATGTATTGCAGAAAAGAAAGTTTTCAAAGGCACGTATTCCCATCCTGTTAAATGGCACGTGACCTTGTACAATAGTTCACAGGGCCTCACCTGCTTAGTTGTGGACTGATATTTGTTGCGTGAATCGTCGCCCAAAGAAGAGGAAGAAGAAGAGGGGGTGGGTTCGCAGACCAAATTATATTAAAACTGACACTTAGGAACCCTCCTCTCTTCCATCGTCCTCCGTCTGCCTCGTAATATATCCGTCCTGGACGCGCCAACTTTGACCTGCCCGTCCGTTGCCGATAGAGCTATATGCTTGAACCTTGCCTAACAGGCGCTTGGCACAAGGCTCGGATCAAGTCGGCCAGGTCCGGTAGGGCAAATGAGCACGTAGAACTGAGAGCCTACGCTCACGAAAAATAGGGATGGCGGTCGGAGGTCACGCGGACAACACCAAATTATGTCTCATCGTCGCACCCGCGAAGCGAAGGACAACTCAAGTGAAAAGCAACGAGTGATCAGTCCGCCGGTTGCCTTGAGGGAGGCCAGCAAGCATATTGATTCGCCTAAAACTTCGCTGACCGGAGAGGGGACGCAGCTCACGCAACCCCGACAGCAAGCAACCTTCGAGAGACCAATTATAGTCGGCAACGCAACGACAGGTAAAGTGCACGCATCCAGCACGGATATAATACGAGGCAGAAGGAAAGGCTGGCTAAATCAAGACCACCGGACGCGGCAACTACAATACTCTGAAGATGGAAGCGAGAAGGGTTCCGAAACCTCGCTTCAACTATGATTTGTTTCACAAACCCGCCCCTCTTCTTCTTCCTCTTATTTTTGAGACGATGAACGCGATAACACATCTGGTCCCCGAATCTTTCGACTGATATTTGTATTTGAAGATTACATTCTGACAAAAATTGGTTTTAAATGTTTGAAAATTAGCCTGCCTAAAGAACTTATTAACGTAAATAACATATGTAAAAACCCTATCATGCTTTATAGCAAGTGACCCTGCGTCCTCGTTCAGAGGGGTTCACATACCGAAATATACGCCGTAAAGTAATATAAGAAACAAAACAAACAACCTAATATTTGTGTCCAACTGCTATTTAAACGTATATCTAGATATTTCATGCGCTACGCAATCTACTCTATTAAATGTTAAGGTCCGATCTTCACCGCAGAAAATCGCTGGAAATTGGACGTCATTTTAAGTATACTAATCAATTTTCAGCGCAAAAGTACGCGACCTTCGTCAAAACAACTTGCTATGATTACGGACGCGTTTCATTCATGCTCTAAATTAGAGTCTCAACCGGGAAAGTACGCTTTTTAGGCTAGGTGTTATCTGGCGGCCAACTTGAGCATGTTTTAAAAAAGGCTGTTCCCGTACGAAGGCAGCATCTGTTTACCCAAAATCTACATTAAACACATATCCCATTAACTGTGCAATATCCGATATCAAAGTGCAGTGTTTTTTCCTTCAGATGTATTGGTAAAATTTGGAGAACTCTTTATCATTTTCACTATTCAAAAGAGGTATTTAATGTGGCACCCTGACTTCTGAAGAAATTTCAATCTGCAAGATACAAAGGCAACGATATTCGTAGAATTTAATTACTTTAAAGGAGTTTGTGGCCTCTTTCGCAATTGCGTAAAGTCCTTGCTTATTAATGAGACAAAATAAACTGTCCAATTAATCGTCGACCTTGAGGACTGGAACCTGATACGTAAATAAAGCATGAGCTGTGGGTCTGGGATGTGCGTTTGCGCATGGTGAGAGGAGAGGAGAAGGAGGAGGCGGTTATCGAAGTAAACCAGTTCGGGCCACTGTGAAAATCTGTCAAACGTGATTAAAAGTGCAAAGAGCAGGGCAGCAAAAAGAATGGACGTAACTTCATTCCCTCCCCCGTCCTCTCACACCCCCCCTTTTCCGCGCATGACTGGCTGATGTCCTGCCCTTTGCACGTTGAATTAAATTAGCTAAATATATTATTAAACCCCTGTTAACCTGTCACCTCGATCTTTGAATGAATTTCAGTCTGTCAGAGGACTTTAGGTAAAATCGAAATTGTATGACTGCACAAGGAAAAGAAATCACCCACAATGCACAGTAGATTCACTATCTCATGCAATGGTAGCCGGAATTCTGAAATGAGTTTTTGATTGGAACATATTAATTGGGGATGGTTGTAATAGAGATGATCATTAAACCTAATCTCAGCATATTTTGGACGCTCCAGGATGCCGGCTTATTAAGGAGCTTCCTTCTGACCGCCAATACAAAGCATGTAACATACAAATTGACTACTTAAGTAGTAGGCCTTTTTTCATTAATTTGACTACTTTATAGATTTAAATATCTTTTTTAGAAAACATGCGCGAAAAAATTATTTCTTGTACTCTTTCGGTAGCAAATTACGCCTTCTTTAAATTTTATACTTAAAGAGATGGTATCTTTCGGTTTTAAAAGGTTTCTAAGGCAACGGTAGCTTATGTAGCCCCACTAATTAATCTCTACTCCTTGCATGTTTTCCTATGAAAACGGTGGTTGTGGAGGGGAAATTAGGACACGCAGTGGGATATGCTTTAACAAACGCTAAGTTCATTTTTATTTTACGGTATTAAGAAGTGTTGTTGATTTATATCTGCAGATTTTCCTAATCTGTATTAGCATTTAACTTATTGTGGGAAAACCCAGTTATCAAATTGCGGGTTTCTTGAATTTCCCAAAAAAGTGAAATGGTGGTTAGGAGGTCGTCTACTTCAACTTACCTGTGGTCCAACTAATGTTCTGAATTTAGATTAGTATAGTCCGCGGCACGAAGCCCGCGCACACCTTCAATTTACATGCGGAACAACTTACTCCCAACGACCGCGGGAAGCAAAGCATAGTCCGCGGCGCGAAGCACCGCGCACACTTTCAATTTACATCCGGAACAACTTACTCCCAGCGGCCACGGGAAGCGACTTCGACGACATTTTTTTCACTTTACACTCACTTCTAAAAATTTCCTTCCCTGCCTACCTACTTCCCCGCCCCACAAAACTCTATAAACACTGTTTTTGTAGGACAAATTGCTGTGAGTAGGGATATATGAGTGATGCTACATAAGCTACTTTTGCCGTTTCTAAATTGCCGAATAATTTTGAAACCTAGTGACCGCTGCACCGGAATTCAAGGTTTAAAAACTGCGCACAGTGAACATCCTGTTTAAGGAAAAATAGGTTTTTGCCTTCAGCTTGAGTAAGATCTCACGTAGTTCTCATAAAATCTTGCAATAGATGTGGAGCATGCTTTATACAGTAAAGGCAGCATTAACAAATGACCGATACGTGATTCTCTGAATGAACACCTGAAAATTGTAAAATAGCTCATAATTAGAATTATTTTTAAAATCGAAAGATACCATTTCTTTAAGTATAAAATTTAAAGAAGCCGTAATTTGCTACCGAAAGAGTACAAGAAATATTTTTTTCGCGAATGTTCTCAAAAAAATATATTTGAATCTATAAAGGCAGTCGAACTTAATTTAAAAAGGCATACTACTTAAGTAGTCACATTTTATAGTACATGCTTTTTCTTGGCAGTCAGAAGGAAGCTCCTTAAAAAGCCGGCATCCTGGAGTGTCCAAAATATGTTGAGATTAGGTTGTATGGTCATATCTATTACAACCATCCGCAATTAATATGTTCCAATCGAAAACTCATTTCAGAATTCCGGCTGCCATTGCATGAAATAGTGAATCTACTGTATGTGACATTGCGTAAGGTTCCGGGAAAATTAGGTTTAGGATTAAGGGGATGGTTATGATAAGGGTTAAGTTTAGTGTTCGGATCAGAGCCATTTTTATATTATGAGTTAGGGTTGTGGTTCTTAGTAACTGTAAGGTTTAGGTTTTGGGTAGGGAACATGTCAAGATTAAAGCAACAATTTAGTTTTATATTCCCATTAAGACACTAACCTATGTACACTTCCTGTAAAATATCTCAAGGCCACTCAGTTTAAGTGGGAGGGGCGTTCCTATTTCCACGTTCTCTCTAGGTGGCCATATAATTCTTCCTCAAATACAAGGTGACACGGTATTGATGCTGTATAGGGGGTTGCTAATATCTCCTCCCCAGCCTTATTTTTAGACAAATTCTCCGGCTTTATTACAGAGGCATCCTCGTTAGACGATGGACTGAGCGTCCTTACGGGAATCCTTGAGGAACCGGTGCAGGTGAACTCCAGTCCGCTGCTGGGTGAGAGGCTGAATGAATTGCTGCGTCTGCGCCAGGCAGGAGACCCCACCTTTGCGAATGCCACAGCAGTCATCGAGCAGACCATCAGAGTAGAGACACCGCATGCAAAGGAGGAGCCTACACGGAGCGTGACCTTCGGGGAGTTGAAGGTTATCGTGGACGCGGCCGCCGCCAGACTACAGACGCAGCTCTCCCATCTGCCATTCAGCCGGGATCTCGCCAAGTTGACCGACTGCACCGCGCTGTCAGCTGAGAGACGGGCGCAAATTGAGCGCTTACAGGAACGCAGCCTGGTTATCATTTGCATGCCGGCAAGCTTGGGCCGCGTGGTGATTCAGGTAGGAAGAAATGCATTCTCTGAGAGTGCATTAAACCAACCTTAACGAGTCACAACAATCGATAGTCCGGTCCCACACGAATAAACACATTGAAATTAGCCAATCAAAACCGCTACGCCATAACAGATATCGACGGTACTGGCGCCCAGAGATTTT